AAAAAAAAAAAAAAAAAAAAGTAAAAATGTGCTTCAGAGGACACCATCAATAAAGTGAAAGCAGGCATGGGAGTCCATGCCTTGTAATATCACAGCATCTGGGAGGCTGAGGCAGGAGGATGGCCTTGAGTTTGAGGCCAATCTGGGCTACGCAGTGAGCTGAAGGCCAGCCTGAACTACTGAAAGTGAAACCCTGCCTGCCAGAAAACACTGGATGCAGAAACAGAATGTGATTCATTAATAAAATAGAATCTTGTTTGGACATAAGAAGTTAACATCATATTAAAGCATAAATGAACCTTAAAAACTTACTATATGTAATCCCAGCACTTGGGGGGATGAGGCAGGAGGATTTCTGTGAGTTCGAGACCAGCCTAGGCTACACAGTGAGTTCCAGGTCAGTCTCAACTACCTGTCTCAAAAAACCAAAAAAACAAACAAAAAAAACTTTTAAGTGAAATAAACCAGTTGCAAAAGACCACATACTGTATGATTCCATTCATAGGAAAATTCAAAATATAAAAAAATCTAAGGACAAAAAATGGTGAGCTAGATGTGGTGACTCATGCCTCTAATCCCAGCATTTGGGAGGCTGAGGCAGGAGGATCACTGCAAATTCAAGGCCAGCCTGGGCTACATACTGAGTACAAGACCAGCCTTAACTACATAGGGAGACCTTATCTCAAATATCCAAAAAAGGGCCAGGGATTTGGCTCAGTGATGTCAGTCACCACCTGCCTCACAAACGCAAGGTCCTGAGTTTTAAACTGGGCACCAACCCCCCAAAACAGTGATAGCTTCTTAGGACTGCATGGCAGCATGGGAAGTCGGAGGCAAGTGATAGCTAAATAGTTTTGGTTTTCTTTTTGAGGTAATAAAAGTGTTATAAAATTGACTGCAGTGATAGTTGCATATATCTGTGCATTGTCATTGCATTGTGCACTTTAAGTGGATTATATAATAAAGCTGTAAAACAGTGCCATTAGCCATCAGATCTGTGAGTCTATAGTCTGAAAGAGAAGACCAAGTTAGAAATAAAGACTTGAGAGTCATCTTCATGTGGATGGAAATTTAAACTGAGAATAAATACAATCACTGAGAGAATGTGCAGAGTGAAGAGGAAGAGACACCAATGAAATAAATGGTCAGATAAAAATAGAACCATGGAATATAGTATCACAGAATTCAGTAGGATTATTAGTGGTAATGGCAATTCATTTGGTAGTAATAGCAATGGTGTCCAGAGTAATGGATACAGAAACCATACAGAGGGGGAGGCTTTTGATCCCCACAGTCCCACTAAAATCACTCTTGTCAAAGTCTTCCATATTTCTAAATACAATGATCAATTTTTAGTCATCTTAGCTTCAGTCTCTTGAGCAAGAATGACAGCTTACAGTGCCTTTGAACTTTTAAAAAACGTGTTTTATAAGACCTCTTGCCTTCGTCTTCCTCTTTTTTTTTTTTTTTTTTTTTTTTTTTTTTTTTTTTTGGTACCAGAGATCAAACTCTGAACCTTGTGCTTTTGAAGCAGGCGGTGGAACCAGTGAGCTAAATCTCTGGCCCATCTCTCTCTTTCTTGACTACTCCTTTTTAGTAAATTTTGCTGGACGTTTCTCTTCTCTAATTTCTATGAGTTGGAATCTCTCAGGATTAGAGGTCTCAGTCTTTAGACTGCTTCTCTTCCTTGTTAAGAGAGATTTCCTCATCCATGGCTATCCATTTATAACTTAGTGAGTCCCTAATTTATGCCTCCAGTTGTCCCTTCTATGAGCTCCAAATTCCTATTTATAGTTATTTACTACTCCATTTGGAAATCTACTAGGTATCTCCAGTAAGATGTCTGAAGTGGAACTGAATGCACCCGCCAAAAAAACCTGTTCCTGTGCCCCCACATTCTGTCTCAGTATAATGCAATTGTTTATTCAAGTCAACCTGAGACATCCTTGACTGTCTTACACCCCACAATTCAATCTATTAGCCAGTCTCCTCTGTGCCACTTTCAAAGTACCTTCTGAGTCCAACCACTTACTATGACTTCCATTGCAATACTAACCTTTGCAAATCTGCAGTAGATTCCTAACTGGACTTTCAGCTTCTACTTTGCATGCCTGTAAACAGTTAAAGAATCAACCACAGGACCCAGGCTTTAGCTCAGTGGTGCTGCCTCCTGCCTGGAAAGCTCAAGGTCCAGAGTTTGATCCCTGATACCAAGAAAACAAAACCAAACCAAAAATACAGGGCCAGGGATTTAGTTCAGTGGTGCCACGCCTGCCTGGCAAGCACAAGGTCCTGAGCTTGATCCCTAGTACAAAAAAAAAAAAAAAAAAAAAAAAAAAAAAAAAAAAAAAAAAAAAAAAAAAAAAAAAAAAAAAAAAAAAAAAAAAAAAAAAAAAAAAAAATCACAGTAAACTTCTTTATTTATAAATGAGATCATGTAATAAATAATAATAAATAAACAAAATCTTGTCATTTTTATTCAGAATCCTTTAGGGCTTCCCAGCCATTTTTAGAATAATAGTCTCTCCTTGGTCTATAAATCTGTAAGTAATCTGGTCTCCACTCCCCGTACTTATTTCCTACCTACTCTTGCCACACTGGCTTCCGGGCTCAGTACTCACAAGCTTTGGGGTCTTTTCCTTGCTGTTCCCTCTTGACTAGAATGTTCTTTCCCAATTGTGTGTGGATATATGCAAATGTCACCTCAGCAAAGGGGCCTTCCCTGAACCCCCAATATCAAAAGTAATAAGCTTTTACATTTTTTACAGTTCTTGTCTTAACTTTATATTACTTCCTGTGTCTCCACCCCCTCACTCCCAACTCCTGTATTAATAAGTCCAATAAATACAAGAATTTTGGTTTGTTTTAGTCACTGTTGTAGCCCCAGCACAAAGTCTCTCATGTAGTAATTCTATAATATTGAATGAAGGAAACAATAATGAATTTAGATAGGACTACTATTCCCTGCAGTCCTTTTCTAGATATTCAGGTTACAAAGATGAAAAAGACATAATCTCTGCCCTCAGAGTTTCTATTTTAATAGTATAGATTAAAAAATAATTATACTGAATGTTATACTGGGCATGGTGGTGCACACCTGTAGTCCTAGTTACTCACGAGGCTAAGTTGGAAGACCACTTGTGCCCAGGGGTTGGAAACCAGCCTAAGCAATGCAGCAAGACCGTCTCTTAGGAAGAGGAAGAAAAAAAAGAATAGAGGTGGATGACAGCAAGTTGGCCAGTGGTTTCATTTTAGTTGGAATAGTCGAGTTGCCTTTCTCAGGAAGCAGCAGGTGGAGACCTGATTTGAACGGAGAGATCCCCTTTAGTAGATGGGACATTCCAAGAAAAGAGAGCAAGCTCTGGGGCTGGAATAGGCTTTGTGGTCTGACTGTAGCAAAAAGACCAGTGAGGCTAGAGGGGTGCTAGGTAGTGGGGAAGAATATAAAATCAGAAGACAAGTAACCAGAGCTGGGTGTAGTGGCACAGGCGTGTAGTCCCAGCACTTAAAAGGCTGAAGCAGGTGGATTGCCTCGAGTTCAAAGTCAGCCAGAATTACAGAGAACGCGTCTCAAATAAATAAATAAACAAATAAAGACTGGGCATGGTGAAACACGCCTGTAATCCCAGCACACAGGAGGTGGAGGCAGGGGAATCACCAACCTGGGCTACACAGTGAAACCGTCTCAACAAAACAAAACCAAACCAAAAGAGGCACCGGCCCACATTTGGCAGAGGCGTCTGTGATGACTTTGATTTCCATTATGTGCCTGGAGGTTTTGAGCTTGGAGACTATGACCTTAGATTTTTAAAAAGTCCCCCTGGCTGTCCTATGTTTAATTGTAGCAGGGTTATAACGGAAATAGGCGAACAAGCAGAGAGTCTATTGCAGCAAGTGTTTAAATGATACACTAATTTTTGCACCAATAATTGCACCCTAGCCTTCTGGTGTTAAAAAAAAATCCCCAGGCAGGAAGTAATTCTCTGCAGGGTTCTTTTAGGAGTCAACACTAAAGGAGGATCTCCAGAAGTCGTTCTAAAGACGGGTAGGGTGGCGCACATCTGCAACCCTAAAGACCCTGGGAGGTTGCGGAAGGAGGATCGCCAAGTTGAAGCCCAGCCTGGGCAATTAAGCGAGACCCGGTCTCAAAATTAAAAAAAAAAAAAAAAATGTTTTTAAAGACTGGATTTGTAGCTCAGCGCTCCCTGGGTTCAATCTGCAGTACTGCAAGAAAAGAATAAGGAAAAAAAAGTCAATAGGCATGCTGGCCCGTTCTTGAGAACCTTCACCAGACCGCCTATCTTCAGAGAGCCTCTTAAGTAGTTTAAGCAGCACCTTAGATTTCTGAGGCCCTCTTTAAGGAAACTTAGTCCGCAAAGGAGAAGCCCCTAAGCTGCACGCATTTTGAGTATTAGGAGAGAACGCAACCCCTAAAAACGCCGCAAAAAACAATTTCGCCTCCACAGGAGTGCGCACGCGCCCCGGGTGGGTTTTGCATTAGCCCTAAGCTCCGCCCCTTGCGCGTCCTTTGGGGAGGGTTGGAACGGAGCGCTTGCTCGGCAGCTCTCCCCTCGGTGCTCTCGGCAGATCGTCGCAAACGCGGCCGGAAAGCGTGGCAGCGCAGGCGCAGGCGCAGAGAGCGGAGGCGGCGGTGGTGGCGGCCGCTGGCCAGTGTAAGATGGCGGCGGCGGTGGTGGTGGCAGTGGATGGGGCGGCTGGGCCTGGAACAGTCGGAGCAGCCGCTGGCAGAAGGATGACCCAAGGCGGGAGGCAGGCTGCTGAGTCTCGGCGGCTCCCGTTCCTGTAACTGCCCAGCCGGACACCCCCCTGACCTAACCGGTCCGTGTCTCATTCCGGCTTGGCCTGCCCCCCTTTCCCGGGCTGGTTCCGCTCAGGATGGGCTTGACCCACTTCCTCAGGCTGCTAGGGCCCCGGTTTTCTCCTTCGCTGCCCCGAGGCACTGTTGGGAGGGCCGGTTCTCCTTTCCGCAGTCAGCCCTGCATTGCCTCTCAGGGCCAGCTCCGTAACTCGCGGGGACGTCTGGCTCCGTCGGGTAACCCATTTCTGTGCCCCTGTTTCTCCCCTTTGCTCGAGGACGCGGCTGCCCGGGAGTCCCCGTCCCCGCGCGGCGTCCCCTCCCCCAACCCGGCTCCTGGCCCCGCACCTCGGGGAGCCGCGGTACAAGGATCCGGGAGGCGGTCGGCGGCGGCTGGTCCTGTCCTCTGTAATTCTCTTGAGTTTGCTTCCTACCGCCTCCAGATCGTCTAAGGACGCCTTAGAACGGTTCCGTTTGGTCCCTGTTAGTTGGAAAGCATCGGTGGCTTGAATTTCTGACTCATGATTGTCGCTGGAGTCTGTAAACAAACCGGCGCTGGCGCTATCACGTTCTCTCCGGATCTCCCCTCCCCCTCCTCCGCGGCTTCTTGTTGAGAGGTGGTTTGGTTATGGTTCAGTGTTGAAAAGGTTCAGGTTTTCCTTTCGGTGACGCTTGGTTCTAGCGGAGCACGGAGACAACTTGCTTGGCTTCTAATCCTCTGTGTTGGTTCACTTTATTTATATACGTGTGCGTATTTCTGTCCAGCCGGTCAGGTAGTTTACTCGAATTTTAAATGCCTCCGAAGAGCTCTTAAAAAAAATAGCAAACGCTCCGTGAAACCTTGTGTTATGTTCAGAAGAGGAAACACCTTTGTCATGTAAACTTAACTTTTCTCAGTCCTTCAGGAACGCTCCAGACCTGTGTTCTCTGGAGCTCTCAGCCTGGCCCTACTTCAGTGATTAAAGGAGGAAAGGAGTGGGAGTTGCAGACAGACCCTACCGCGATGCTCAACTGCTGATCACTAGTCTTAAAATTTCTACCAGTCTCCACAAGTTTGGGTATTGTTCTGTGTTCCAGCTTTGGTTAAATTGATTGTGCAGGTTTAATTGGCTGTGTTTTTGCTTTTCTGTGCTAAGCTACTGCTGTATATATTGAGTTTTGCCTAGAAGTGAATGTGTGTTCCTCCCTCGTCTTTCCCCTTTTCCTTTATTCATTTGCCATATGTTTTGCCTTGTGCGGTTCATGTTTCTCGTTAAAAACTGAAATTGAGTTTGCTTGAGTTCTGTTGTATCTTTTGTAAAATCCTGTCTCTTTCCTTCTCCCGGCTTTTGTGTTGTCATCCTTACCATTTGGAGACTAGTTAGGCGAGGAGTGATGAGAGATGCTGCATTTCGTTTGTGTCTGAGTCCACTCCATCTCAGAATTCTAACTTTTCCAAACATACTGGGGAAATTTTGGTGAAAAAGTAAATAGTAATTGCTGTTTTGTAGCTAGTCCGAAGAATTCTTGGTTAGCAGAAGAATCATCCTGTACATTCAGCATGGCGCCAGTGCCAAAAAGGGAGTAAGAACATACTTATAAGTGTAGCTTTTGTAAGACTCTTAGGTTTCTGGTGACAGAATACTGCTGCGGTTGAGGCTTGTGAGATGTCATAGAAGAGCTGAGTGGTTCTGGACAATAGGCCTGGCCAGTTCTTCGTATATACTGTAGTAGGAAAAGATGGAGTAGGACTGTAGTAAATTTTATTCTACCTGGTACCTAGGTCAGAAAATGTTCGTTATGGACTAGAATGAAATTTTAAATTGTGTATGTAAGATATAAAGGGAAAAGTGCAGTCTTTGGAGATGGGCAGACTGAGGATTAAATACTGTAGAAAGATTTATTAGCCATGTGACCTTAGGCAAGTTACTTTAAACTTTGCTGACTCTTAATTTCCACATCTTTAAAAGTGAGATAATACCATTACCTCCCACAGTCATTGTTGGTATTATATGAGGGAAGCCATGTAAAGTTCTTAGATTATGCCTAGTGCATGGTACATGCTCAGATACTACTTTTTATTTGTACCTTTTGAAAAGTTGTACATTATTTCTTTGCATTTTGTTTTACAGCACATTTTCCTGGTTAATTTTTCAGATTCCTTTCTTCCCACTGGGAAGTGAACCTGCCAGGGCCTTTACAGATTTAATGTCTCTATTCCTTTTCAGTTTTTTTTCCCCCCAGTTTTGTTTTGTTTTGTTTTTCAGTCAGTCTTGCTAAATTGTCCATGCTGGATGGGAGTTTTCCATCCTATTCCCTCAGAGTGCTGGGGTTATAGGTATGTGCCACCACGCCCAAGTTTTTTTTCCTCCCTTGACCCAGGTACTAGGAATTGACCCCAGGGCCTTCACACTGAGATAGATTGCCAGCCCTTTTGAGATAAGATCTCATTAGGTTGCCCAGACTAGGTTTGAATTTGTGATCCTCTTGCCTCAGCCTCCCAGAGTGCTAGTATTATAGTTGTGCATCACACACCTGGTTCCTCTGCTTAGTGCTGAGGATTGAAATCATGCCTTCACACAAGGTGAGCAAGCATTATTGCTGCTTACAGCTTGGAACTCCATCCTCAGCCTCTCAAGTTCATTTGTAACTGTTTGGGTCAAATGTGTCTTTATAAGTGCCCACCCAGGACTGCCTTCTGAATATGATTTAGGACAATCTTGGTTGGGGTTCATGATCAGAAGGAATATTAGATGTTGGTGTACATATATTTCTAAATATACTTTTTTTTTGGTACCAGGGATCGAACTGGCACTTGCAAGGCATGTGGCAGACCCACTGAACTAAATCCTTGGCCCTCTAAATGTACTTTTTTTTTTTTTTTTTTTTTTTTTTTTTTTTTTTTGGTACTGGGGATTGAACTCGGGTCCTTGCGCTTGCGAGGCAGGCATCAGAACCACTGAGCTAAATCCCCAGCCCTAAATGTACTCTGAAACATGAATAATTTTCTTCCATTCCTTGCTTCCTTCACCTTGGTCTAGGAGCACACCTGACTAGAATGAACAGTTTTGTAATTCCTTCCCCTTGTGCTACAGTGTTGTTCACCTGTATTGGAGCTACTCGTGCCTTTCATTTTTGCCATGGAGGGTGTACATTTTCTCTCAGATACTGAGCTATAAGGTGATCCTCTTGAACAGATTATCAAAGAACTAGATTATGAAAGGGTCTCACTTCTTTCTGAACTAAACCAAGGTTAGGTTAGGAATTCCAAAGGGTTAGGAAAAGAACAGAGTTCATTTTCAACTCCACATTTGGACAGTACAGATAGAGAATTTTAAAAATTCTCTTCCACATCCCTTTGGAAGAGCCAAGAGCAAAAATTAAGAAAGTATCGATAACATTGTAGTGAAGGAAACTGCATTTAGCCAGTGATCGTTTTAGGGCTGATGGCTGATGAACTGTGTTTTTTCGTTTTGTTTTTTGCTTTTTGTTTTTTGAGACAGGGTCTCACTATGTAGCCCAGGCTGGTCTCGCACTCACAGCAATCTTCCTGCTTCAGCCTCCCAAGTGCTGGGATTACAGGTGTGCGCCACCACGCCCAGCTTCCTGATGAACTGTTAATACTGCATCCAGTATCTAACTCTGTTGTGAGTTAAAGTCCCTTGGTGGTGAGGTGGGCATTAGTGTTTTTGTGAGATCTGGAGATCTGTATTGGATAGGAAGAATGATGGGAGGAGAGAAGGAAATTGTTGAAAAATGAGTAACTTTGAGTGTGCCTGATTGCTTTGGGTGGGGGATAAGAATCCTCTTCGATCTATAGGAAGGATTTCATATTTTACACTTCAGGTGACATCTGTGTATACAGTGAAGCAGTATTCTTAGTTTGTAGATCACAGCTGTAAAATTCTTCCTGAAGATATTTTTGTATTTCAGGGTTTTGGGTATTACGTAAGAATTGTCACATCTTACTAAGTAAGAGGTATTTTCTAGGATGGCCGAGGTGGGAGACAGTGTCTTCTTAGTTCCTACCACCAGTCTGGCTGGGCATTTTATGGTGCAGTATATTAAATATGTAAGAATCAGTTTCGGTGTCATGGTCCTTCATGTTGACTAGAATCAACCTAAGGCATGAGCTAGGGATTTAGCTCAGTGGTGCCACCACCTGCCTCGCAAGCTCAAGGTCCCAAGTTCAATCCCCAGTACCAAAAAAACAAAAAAAACAAAAAAACACCTAAGGCACAAGCTTGCCTTCAGAGATCTAAAAGCAGCCTTTTTTGTTGGTGTTACCAGTTTAAAAACAGTCCTGGCATTTCGAAGCAAGCAGATTCTAGAAGAAGATACACTTTAGAGGTACACCTTGTTGTGGAACACTGGGATGTTAATTTATGTGCATATATTCTATAAGATGGATTACAGGCTTTTTTCTTTTCTTTTTGTTTCATTTCATTTCTGTTCTTTTTGAGACATGGTTTTACTATGTACTGTCATTTCAAGCTGGCCCTGTACTCACTGTGTAGCTCAGGCTAGCCCTGTGCCCATTGAGTAGCCCAGGGTAGTGTTCAACTCATGGTAATCCTCCTGCCTCAGCCTCCGAAGTGCTGGGATTACAGGCATGTGTAACCATGCCCGGTTTACAGGCTTCTAAAGTCATAAACTGAGTAGTTAAACTCAGCTTTCTGTAAATAGATTTATTGCTAGATTGTTTTTAGCATAGAAAAGGTAGCTTTAAATATGTCTAAGAAGTGTGTGAATTATAAAAGCAGCAAGTATCCTAACAGAACTTTTTATTGTATAACTTTGGTGTTAAAGTTATTTTTAAATTTATATTTATTTTTTTCTGGAGTTATTAAGTCTCTAAGACTGAATTAACTTTTGTTTTTTAAGTAGATTTATCATTGAGCCAGGATAATCTGTTTACCCTCACCCCTTTGGAGCTCAACCCTCTGAGTTAATTAAATCACCACAGGCATGGAAGTAGTGACCATGTATAGTATACAGTAGTCCCCTTTTATTTGCAGTTTTGCTTTCCATAGTCAAACAGTGC